TTGTCTGACGGGTGTGGGAGGGGGTGGGCTGACCTCCAGTTGAGTTTTTGCCAGTGCAGAAAATCTGGCACAGTTTGAATTTGAGGACCCCATCCTCTCAAGGTCCTGTTGGGTGGCTCCCTTGCTGGGCTGCGGCCAGGACACCAGGATCCAAGGAAGCACTCTGACTGCTCAGGAAGCCTTGCCCCGGCTGGAGTCAGGATCTGCCCTCAGAACATTCCTCCTGAGCAGAAGCCTCCTGGCCATATAAGGCCGCCTGTGGGCACCTCTCACAGGCCCTTACCCCCACCTACCCCATGGGAGCCAGTCTGACCAGCCAGGACAGGGAGGAGCCTGTTGGAGCACTGGAACTGGGGGCGAGTACAGGACAGCTTCGGGGCTGAGCACAGCATCTTCAGGTGCCACTAGTGCCCCATTGTGTCCCTCTTGCTCTCTCCATACAGGTTTGAGCCTCAGGCTTCTCTGGGAGGTGGTGGGGGTGGGGTGGGGAAGGCAACAGATCCTGAATGATAAAATGATAAAAGTATCTCAGTTTGGTGCCAGGAGACCCCTTGGGGCTCTACCTGGTAGTTCCCAAGGGGCAGACTCACCTGCAGAAGGACGGGGGTGGGGGGGTGGGGGGGGCTTTTCTTTCCTAGGCCTACTGTCTATCCCTTCCCAGGAAACTGGTGGGCCTTGAAGGACCTGACCTGCCTCTCAGGCAACGGGCTGGGCCTCTTGCGCAAGCAGGCAGGTAGAGGTGTGTCTATACTCTGGCAAGGATACTTCTAGGAGGCCCCTCATTCCAGTTTCTGAGATACCCCATCCCCCACCCACCCCAGGCTGGGAAGTGGCTGGATCTACAGAAAAAATAATCGTGGTGTAGTATGAGGGAGGGGTCTCTTTGGGAGCCAGATCTTCCTCAAAACTTCTACAGTTTTCCTCTAAGAACTGTCAGGGTTTGGAGCAAGGGAACCCCAGGACCTGATCCACTACTCACTGGGCTCGAGGTACCTCATCCTATCTGCTGATGGCCCTCTCAACTCAAATAAACTAACCAAGGTTAGGAAGCGTTAAAATTGGACCCTGAATCCCTTGTTTTATTTTTGAGACAGAGTTCCTCTGTATAACTCTGGCTGTCCTGGAACTCTCACCGTGGACCAGGCTGTCCTCGAAACTCACAGAGATCTGCCTGCTTCTGCTTCCTGAGTGCTGGAATTAAAGGCATCCACCACCACTGCCCCGCTTGGACTGCGAATTCTTGAACATCAAATTAACCACTTCATGGAGATCTCCCTAGGTTGTGTACCTGTTCTAAGCATGCCCCAAGGTATCTGCAGGGCATCCAGCTAGAGTTACACCTTCATCCCACCCACAGAGAAGAGAAGCTGGGTAGTGAGAGAAACCTGGAGGAGGAGTCCTGTGTAAAGCCTGGGGACCTGAACCACCATTACCCATTCTTCAGACACCTAATCACCCCCACCCCACATCCCATCAGGCTCCACCCATGGGCAATGACTGCCTTGGGTTAGGCCTGCAGCGGTTATAGAGGGCTCTGGGCTGGGAGCTCATTGCCTATAGAGGTGATGGATCTGCTTGGACCCGCAGGTATATATATATACATACACACATATACATACACATATATATACATACACACACACACACCCCTCCATGGTGCCTGGGTCTGAAGGTTCTAAAGAACCATGAAGGGAAAAGTCCCTGCTTGTTTCTAGGTCCTGTCTCAGACCCCCCCAGCCCCACCCTTTCAGGTACAGGAGCCAGGAGACTTTTGAGAAGTTAGATCAGATAGCTGGCCTTGCGACAGGGTTCTCCAAGCCTGGGGGAGGGGTCTCAGGGTACTATGCCTGGGGACATCCTGCTTACCAAGCTTCCCAGCCCCGTCTCAAAGTCAGTGCTGATGGAGGCACATGATGTGCTACTCTGACAAGCAGTGGCCAACAAGGGGCCAGACGCTGTCCTTTGGGTTTACGACATCCTGATGTCAGCCTCTCAGGGCTGCGACTCCCTTTGGCATCTGTCCAGTCTGAATCTTTGGAAGACAGAGCTGGATCTTGCTGACAGCAGCTGACAGAATCAACCCCACTGCTGGCTCCTGGCTGCCTTCCACGGGCAGGGACAGAGGTTCTACCATCAGCTCTCTGAAAGAGCCTCAGAGCAGCCCTGAGAAAGGGAATATGGTTTCCATACTGCTTTTTCTTCGAAGCATGTCCTTGCAGAGACGCACATCCTGGGCCTTGGAACTGGACCCTCTTCCTGGCTTGTCTAAACAAGAGGCAGTTAGAGCCAGCTCTCTATGAGGGTGTGGCAGCCACCTGAACACTGGGACCTGGGGCTTGTCTACAGTTGCTTGTGACACCTAGTGACATGCTTGAGTGTGAGCAAGGGTCATCCTCTGTCCTCTGGGTGGCTCCAAAGGAGGGCTTCTAGGGTTGAGTGGGGCAGCTCATGTAGGGCTTTGTTTGCAGCAGCTGCTCCCACGTTGGGTGACTTAGGGGCTGACGTGTAGCCCAGGAATGGTGTTGGAATAGAGCCCTATGCCAGGTCAGGGAGAAACTATGCCAGACTTCTTCCCCAACAAGCTGCAGCCTTCTTCTGAGCCTGGGCCTTGGTAAGGACCACTCCTGACACACTTCACTCTCTTGGCTAGCTTACTCCTTACCTCATTCTAGACTAGGCACCCTCTCCCACAGGACAGGCCCCTCCGGTGTTGTCTGGATTGTCAGAAGAAAGGGGTCAGCTTTGAGAACTGGTACCCAAAAGATCCCAAAAGGCATGCCTGAGAACAGTAGTTGCTAATTTAACTCCTCTCTTTACAACAGTGTGCCATTAACTACACCCATCCACGTGACCTCAGTTTCTCCATCCACAAGGAAGAAAACTGGCAGTGTGGTCAAAGGAAGCAAAAGGAAGATACCGGCTCACTGTAGTGAATACTGGAAACCAGACCTGGTCAGCAGGGTATGGGTACAGAAGTGGAGTGGGCAGAGAAAACCACCCTCGTGGGATATCTCCTCCTGTTCCTTTCCCTAGCTCCAGATCCAGCTGCTCCCTCCTGGCCCAGGCAGACCAGCTGCCACTGGGTAGTGTGTGGACACCTCACCAGTCCCGTGCTATGCCAGAGTCCTCTGCCCGCATCACCCGCCCCGACAGCCACCAGTTGCTCTTGGGGCAGCTGTCTGCTGGGAAGTAGCTAGCTTGGGTTTAACCCTTCGGGTGCTGGTTGCTGGGCTGACTCAGCACGTTCTCAGCCATCTGCCCTTCTCTTCCACTGGCCGGTCCTCTGGGACCATTCCAAAATACACCCTGCCTGGCCACTAGGGGGCTCAGAGGAGTCCTGGCACAACCTTTGCCCTCTAGACCCTCAAGAAACTCAAGTGAAGTCAGCAGGCTATGAAGCCCGGAGGTCAGACGCTTTAGTAATGTATCTCTCAGCCTCTGGCTATTAGGACCCCCAGCTGCTAAAGGGGATAGAGGCGGGAACCAGAACGGCTTCCTGATGGGTATGGTGGACCTCTAGGCAGTAGTAGGGTGGGGCCAGCCATCTGGGAACCTGCTACTGCCCCAGCTGTGCCTCACGGGGTCATAAATCAGCTTCTGAGCCTACTCTACTGAATTCCAGATTCCTCCCTGTCTCCCGCCCTCTCTGGAGCCAGCCCCTCCCCCACACCAAGCCTTCGAAGCAAAGGGAAGCGGCTGCCTTGCCCTCCCCCAGGTGGAAAACTAAGTGAGGTTATAGAGGAATTCCGGGGAGGGAAAGTGGAAGGATCCAGGGAGGGCAGCCTGTCTTAACCTCGCATTTTCAACTGAGACTGGGATCCTCCCAGCCCCTTGGGGTTTAAGATTTGTAGGAGGCTGGGGGTAGTCAGGAGGGCAGGAGGGTGGTGCTACCTTTCCTTACAACTACGGGTCAGAACCGGGTCAGGACATGATGGCAGTGTTTCAGGAACTCACTCGAACCCTTGGAATTATCCAGAAGGCCCAGCAAGATGGGAGTTCTACTCAAAAACTGAGTCTGACCCCTACACCCCCCTGGCTTTCCTGTTTGGTCCTAGAATCCAAGGGAGATGATCCAGTCAGCGGCTGCGGCTGAAATGAGGTACACAGTCATCTTAGCTAAGCCTCTAGGACCTTCAATGTTTGCAACTCAGAGCCTGGCAGATCAACTAGAGCCCACTGTGCCCCAGAAACCCAGGAGCTAGAGGCACGGCTTGCTTCAAAGATGTCTAACCAAAGTCTCGGCTTCCCAAGGAGCCTATCGGGCTGGCACCTTATAGGCCAATGAGCATCCTTGGACATGCCCCATGGGTGGGCGCCTGTCATTTCTTTGCTCTTGTATTGATCCCCTATTGCAGAGGGGTTTTAAACCCAATATGGGTAGACAGAGCTAAATCCGACCTAACAATAGAGGAAGTAGGGGGTCCCCTCCTGTCTGTTCTTCCTCCCTCCCCCCACCATTTGCAGATCACATCCCCTCTGGGTCCCCACCCAAGGCTACGCACAGTTTATTCAAACACCAACAGGGAAGGAAGAGAGGAACAGGCTAGGGCAACGGGGAGGCGCCAGGTGGCTGAGACCTGTTTGAAGTTAGGGAAACAAAAAAGGGGAGCCGCTGGGCGGGTAGAGGCAAGCCTGGCGTGTGGGGTCCTGAACAACCAGGGAAAAAGCAAGGGGTCTCCGTGGGGATCGAAGTCACGACCTGGGGAAGAGGAAAGGCTCAGTAGCGCCAAGTTCCCACGGCCTGGCCGACCGCCAGCAGGTGCCCCTTCCAGGACGCTGGTCTGGCCGGGGTCCGAAGGGTTAAGGTCCCCAGGCCGCCCCCTCTCTTGTGCCCTCCCCCAACCCCCTCTCTGGGGCATAAGGCTCGGGCGCCAGGGCGGGCCTGGGCGGGGCCTGACGTCCTCGGACAGGCGGGGCCAGCCGGGCTGGCCGCCCCAAACTAGACTTGCCGGGCTCCTGCGGCGCGCGCTGTCCCTAGAGCCGCAGCCCCCAGCAGGAAAATGGCGAAGCGCAGAGGGCAGCTCTGCGCGGGGAGCGCACCGGGCGCTCGTGGCCCCCGGAGCCCCGCGCCACTGCCGCTGCTGCTGCTGGCTGGGCTGGCGCTGGTAGGCGAGGCGCGCACTCCCGGGGGCGATGGCTTCAGCCTGCACCCGCCCTACTTCAACCTGGCGGAGGGCGCTCGCATCACCGCGTCCGCGACCTGCGGCGAGGAGGCCCCGACGCGCAGTGCCTCACGCCCCACCGAGGACCTCTACTGCAAGCTGGTTGGGGGTCCAGTGGCCGGCGGAGATCCCAACCAGACAATCCAGGTGAGCGCGGCGCGGAGGAGCTGGTTTCACCATCCTGTAGTGTTTCACCCCTAGCGCCGAAACCCAGCCGTCTCGTAGGGGCTCCCAGTGCTGGGGAGAGTAAATACCGACTCACTCTCCACCAGGACTCCCTGGTCCCATGTTTTGATGGACTAAGAGGGACCCTGACGCGGCCACCGAAACTCGTGCAGACATTGCACGTGCCTCTGAAAGAGCCAATGAAGTGTCCCAGTCGAGGATCAAGGGCCCCTAGGGCCGGTGAAGATCGGGTGGCGGGGGTGGTGGTGACCTAGGCAGGAGGGGACCGGTGATCTGTCCCCGGCAGCCGTAAGTCCGGGATCCCTGCGTGGGCGGGATTTGGCCAGGGTGCCGGCTGACTGTGAGGAGGGGGCGGGAGCTCCTTGTTCCCCGGGGACAGGCTGGAACCTGTTGGCCTCCCGGATGGGAACGGAATGAGCGCGGAAGCCATCGCCCGTTTCTCCTGGTGTTGGGTCTCACTGTCCCAGCCAAAAGTTGAAGCTTCTCTGCTTGGGATCTGGGAACTTCGAAGGGAGGTGGAGAGAGCATGCAGGCAAAGTTTTAGCTGAGTGCAAACACCTGTGGGCCATCGTGGGGCAGCCCCCTGCCCAGCAGGTGGAAGGTCCTTGGGCTTTAGTCTCCCAAGAGATGTGGATTCTGTGCCGAAAGACTCTCCGGAGCCCTGCCTTTCAGGTTGAGCCTACAGGTGGGCCAAGTTGTCCCGCCGCAGGACTCCTTCCTGTCTCATGTTAGGGACCTAAGAGAGTTGGGAGTCATAAGGGCCTGGTAACTTTAGCTACCTTCTCTAGGGATCTGTTTGCACCTTCCTGGAAGGAGGCTGGCGAGGGAAAGAATAGCTGAAAACAGATTCCTTGGGATGGAGAAAGAGGGGAGCGGTGAAGGAATTCAATTCTGTTCACTGGTTTACCTGGCCACCACCCTGCTCACTCCGCCCTTCCTCGGGCCTCCAAGTGGGGAGGGGGAGTTGAGAAGGGCCCGGCTCCCTGTACTCTGGTTCCTGGTGCAGTCTCAGGAGCAGGTGTGGGCCATCAAGAGACAGGGAACCTGAGGCCTGGAAAAGTACAAACACCTGTTTTTGAAGCTTTGCAAGTCGGAGCAGGATCCATCTGAGGGAAGCAGTTGGAAGTGAGTTGTCCCTTAACCTGTGTTTTCCTGTATATAGTGTCAGGGAGCTGAGTCTCAGGAGGGGGCCCTGTAGGGATCTGTCCTGACCCAGAGGGACTTCCTGGGCTTCCAGGATCTTCACTTCTATAATTGTTATTCTCTGGGAAGGGAACTCAAGTCCGTTCCCAGCTCTACCTGTGCACAGGCCTTCTCAGAAGGTCGCTGGGCCAGATGGATCTGGTTCTGCACAATTGTTATTATGTCCCTATTGTGGTAAAGGCCCAGCCAGGTGGTCAGAAGCTACAGCTCTTCTCTGCTGCACCTCCTTGGAGAGAAAGTAGAAATAACAACCGCTTCAGCAGTGGCCCACTATCAAGGGGTTAGGCATGAAACTCACAGATTGGCCCCAGGGAATCAGGGACCCTTTATGGCAACAGAAGAGGGACAGGGCATCCCAGGTAGGAATCTGAGAGTCCTACAGGGCCTCTGGGCAAGTGGCTTAGTTCTGCTGTCCTCCCAGTGGGCATCTCATAGGGCATGACTCAGTGGAAGGGAAAGTCCTAATCAGCTCCTATGTTTCCTAGTTCTGTTCCTGGCAGGACCCTCTGCAGCAGAGGGTGGAGGAAGCCTAGTTTTCCAGCCCTGTCTTCTGTGAGCCAGAGGTCAGTGGGGGAAATCCAGGCCACCAAGGGTGCTTGTGGCTTACTGCTCAGTGAATAGCTGATTTGAGATTCTCAGTGTGGTTCCCTAACTCTCTAGACCCTCTCTGTTGGCTCGAAGGAAGCACACTCTGGCTTCCCTGGACCTCCGGGCTCCCAGAGGCCTACCATGTATCCCTGAGCCTGGGCCTGATTTCTGGGGCAGTATGATGATGTTCTATGTGGTCTGGGCCACAAGAAGTCTCCCTAGGAGGCATGTCTACCCCACCCTGCTTGGCACTCGTGGGCCAGGGTCCTCTCAGGGTCCTACTGTCTCCATTCTGTAGCTCTGAGAGCTGAGGACACACAGGTTGCAGGTAAGGAATCACCATTTAGGGTTGACAGACTGGCTCATTTAGGGTCATCGTTGTCCTAGCTCCTCTGAGCCACAAAGGAAGGCGTGCCTAACACCAAAGAGCTCTCAGGGCCCCAGGAGAACTAGCCAGATTGTTTGTATGATGGGATAATCATAGAAGACAGTGCCTGGCAGGGTGCAAGTCAGCTTGGGTGGTCCAGAACAATGCCCAGGGGCTGATATCTAAACCAAGATCAGGAGAGCATCGCAGCCTCTACAGGCTGCCAGGCTCCCCAGAGATCAACACCTGGGGTTCAGGGCCACCAACAACCCTAGAAATGGACACATAAGGCAGAGTCTGAAGCTAACTGGACTTCCAGGAAGGCAAAGCCTACTGTGTGTACATGGGGGCTGGGCTGGAGGCTCTGTTGCCACTGAGACTGCCCAGTCAGGGCAGGGTTCACCCACACCCCAACCTCTTCAGAAAGAAGCTCTATACCGCACCCTCAGTCTGAGAGGAGTAGGGTCACTTTCTGGGCCCCAGTCCCTGTCAAGTCTCCAGTACTGCCTTTGTGTAGGACAGGCTTGGTTTCCCTAGGGGGTGGGGGGGTTCTCCTGGCCCGGATCCTTGGCCCCACCCCTTCCCCACCAGGAACAGCCATCCAGGATTCTGCTGGGACTTCCTACAGGCCCCAGCCATTGGCTAGGCTGTGAATGAAGCAGCTGCCAGGCCCTGAGTGTGATCATGGCGTGGCAGTGGTGGTGGCCTCTTCAGCAGGACAACACTATCCTACCCTGCAGATGGGGACACTGGGGTTCCCAGGGCGCCCTGACTTGCCTTTGTCCCAGAGGGCAGAAATGGCATTTGGGAGCCCCAGGCTCTGCTGCCACTGCCACTTGGGAGAATATTTACATTCTAGTTCCACCCCCTACCCCTAAAACATGCTTAATTCTTATCTGGAGAGCCAGTCCTGGAAGTACTGGACTGCTAGGTGTGTCTCCAGACACAGACTGGGAGCTGGGGGTGTCTGATTCCCCCATGAACTCTCTTCCCCAGATGATCCTTCTTCCTAATAGCTCTGCCTTTCTTACTCTTTCATTTCTGCCCCCAAAGGATCAACCCCTCCATCCCCCTCCCCCACCCCTACTACCAACCCCATCCCCCATCCCATACTGTCAACACCCTCCCCCTCCCCCACTGTCAACCCCATCCCCCATCCTACACTGTCAACCCCATATTGTCAACCCCCTCTCCTTCCCCACCCCATATTATACTATCAAGTTCATCCCCCAATCTTATATTGTCAACCCCCTCCCCCTCCCCATCCCACACTATACTATTACCCCCCTCCCCCATCCCATACTGTCAACCCCATATTGGCAACCCCTCCCCCTCCCCTATCCCACGCTGCTATACTCTCAACCCCCTTCCCATCCCCACCACCAGGGAGAGTGGTAGGTGGGAGGGCTGGAGAGATCTTACGTGCTTTTGCCTTCTTTGCTCTTTGACTGCATCAATCCTAGAGCCTTTCCAGTAGCCAGCTCTCTGCCTGGAACATACTCCCTTTACCCCCAAGGCCTCTGAAGCTGCTTTCCCATTGAGGCTTGCCTTGATTTTCCCACCGGTGTCCCCTCAGACGCTTCCTGCAATGGAGCCGTATCTCTTGACTGACTGAAAGGCGAGGATCTCAAGGTTGAGAACAGAGGACAGTGTTTTGGGACCCAGGGTTCATAGGACAGGATGGTGGCTCTAGAGGAGAAAGGGGGTGCTTAGCCCTTGGTCATCTGGCCATCTCTCCCTGCAGGGCCAGTACTGTGACATCTGTACAGCTGCCAACAGCAACAAGGCACACCCTGTGAGCAACGCCATCGACGGCACTGAGCGCTGGTGGCAGAGCCCACCCCTGTCCCGTGGCCTGGAGTACAATGAGATCAACGTCACACTGGACCTGGGCCAGGTAGGGTTCATTTTTGTCTTGCTTTAGGCACAAGATAATAATGGGCTTGGTGAGGTCACCATCCGGGGAGACAAAGCCTGGGGAGGAAGGGCTGCTGGGAGCAGGGCCAGCACAGGCAAAGGCCCAGTGGTGGGTGTTATAAAATATAACGTGGCTGCACGTGTTGCGGGGGAGGAGTACCTAGCGGGCCCATGCCAACGTGTTCCCTGAGAAATCACGCCACGCCACAGACCTGGAGGGGGAGTGAGAACCTGGTCGAGGTGGACAGACAGACAGAACCTGGTCGAGGTGGAACAGAGCCATGAAGGCAGACAGAAAGACAGGGGAAAGAAAGAGAGAAAGACCAGCTGGGAACACAAGGGAATAGAGAGAAAGGGTGCTGGGTAGCAAGTAGTCCTTTTATACGGCCGCCCAGTGCGTCACCCACACCTGGCGGCAGATAATGGCTGCTGTAAGCCGTTGCTAGGTCCTTGGGAGGAGTCTATCGGAATTGCCTGTAACCCAACAGTGGGCATCTTTGTTCTTCAGTGTACATGGAAATTGGGGACACCACTGGAGGCCACATCAGACCTGTCACACAGAGGCGTGGCAGACCTGCCTTAGGGCCCCTTGTGCCCTCCCTCAGAGACTCCCCGGTGTTTACTCTGAGGAATTCCTGGTGGAGGTGGGAGGGGCACAGGAATGTGGAGGAAGTCTGGTGGAAATGGACATTCCTGAGATACCTGTGCTCTGGTGACCACCTTTAGGTCAGGGGATCAGTGACTGAACCCACACTGCCAACTCTGAGTCCTCATAGGCCCTCCAGGTCCCTGTTCAGGTAGGACGGAGATCAGGCTGTTTCTCAGCGATGCATAAGCCTAGGGGTTTAGGGGCACTCGTGTCACTCAAGGACTGGGCCACACTCACTGGGATCCTGGTGTCACTCCAGGACTGGGCCACACTCACTGGGATCCTGCCTTGTGGGAGTGGCGGACTTGTTGAGGCTCCCTGGAACCAGAGTGGGGGTGTTTAGATGAGGCTGGAGTTGGGGTGAGGCTGAGGCTGGGGTTTGAGTTAGGGCCAGGGCTGGGTCTGGAGCTGGGTCTGGGTCTGGGTCTGGGGCTGGGTCTGGGGCTGGGGCTGGGGCTGGGGCTGGGGCTGGGGCTGGGGCTGGGGCTGGTGCTGGGTTGGGGTCAGGGTCAGGGTCAGGGTCAGTGCCGGGGCCGGGTCTGGTGCTGGGTCTGGGTCTGGGTCTGGGTCTGAGTCTGGGGCCGGGGTTGGGGTTGGGGCCCAGGGCCGGGGCTGGGGCTGGCTACATGGTTGATCCTACACACTTACTATTCTACCAATCCAGAGACTTGTGTCTCCATATCTGCCACAACACAGCTGGCCTCTGCTCCTTCCTGGGCCTGTGTGCCTCCACTGAGGTGGGAGGGGATGAGGGGTGAGGCAGAGTAAGGTAGGTCTCCACAGCCAGGCTGCAAGGGACAGGCCTCTAGGGAAGGTGCCTGCTTCCCATCTGGTAGTTGGGGCAGGAGAGCAGACTGAGTCTCAGCAGGTGGTCTTGAACTTCAGGGGAACTGATCCTGCAGCCAGTGTAGAGAAGAAGGGGGAGAGGGAGGAGGCCACTGAACCAGGGCTGTCTGGCTTGGTCTTGATCGCCCAGCTTTCTGTGCCCTGGAGCCTGGGAGCGGGGTGGGGTGTGGGGGTCTCAGGAGCCACTTGAACCCAAGGCCACTTTCTTCTTTGGCACAGCACTGGGGCTCCTATGGGAGGGCATGTGTGTGAATCGTCCCTTGGTGTGGGGGTAGCAAGGGGGTACCTATGCTCTCCTTCCAGTCTTGCCTGGCTGCACCTTAGGAGGCAGGAGTCTGGTAGCTGGGGAGAGGGGGCCCTATCTCCATGGCAACCTCAGATCGCCTACAGAGCAGGTGGGCACTATGCCCAGGTGTCGTGTGGGAGTGGGGACAGCGGTGGACTACCTTCCTGACCAAGTGTGGACTGTGCTCCTCCAGGGTCCAGAGCCATCCTCACATCTCCCCTTGGGCCTTGGGTTGTTTCAAGCTAAGAGAGAGCTTCATGCATGGGTGTCTTGTCTCTCTAAGCCATGAGGCAGGGGAAGGAAAGACTTTCCAGCCATGTCTGAGAAGAGCTCACCACCCTGTCTCCTCTTGTCCAGTACAGTCCTTGTCACTGCTGGGCCAATGGCTGCCAGCCATGACAGGGGCAGGAAGCTCTGGGATTGGGGCAGGCAGACTGACTCCAGCTTTTCATAGGGAAGTTCTTCCTGGGTTCTGTGCTGCAGGCCTGCGAGGTCCTCTAAGGCGCTAGCCCTGGGCTGGGGCTCCTTCAGGAAGCATCAGGAAGTGCCTGGCCAGGCGCCTTTGTTCTGGTGAAAGCGGATGCCCTGGGAAGGGGGTGGGGGTGGCTGGCAGGGAGCCTTACAGGCTGGGGAGGGCGGGCTGGGCTGCTAGGCCGCCCTGGATCTTATGCCCTGGTGTGTGAGTCCAAAGCTGGCACTGAACTTGGAAGGGCTGGTCCCCATGACACCTGTCTGAGAGCATCCAAGGCACCTGGAAGGACACTTAGGAGAAACTGGGCACTTACTGGAGCTTGAAAGAAGATTCCTTCTATTAGGGAGGGTTCCCAGGAAGAGGTTTCAGCTGAGGACAAAGGAAGTTTCCTGAAACCCAGCCTGGTTTGCCAAGGTTTGAAGGGGGACTCTTATCTCCTGTGTTTATCTGGAAGTTTCTGGGGCCCAGTAATCAGGTTGCTGCTCCCATCATCCTATCTCCAGAGTCCAACCCTGTGCCAGGAAACCAGGTACAGGCCTCATGGAAACCCTTCAGCAGGCAGGGATGCGTAGGCCTGTGTCCTCTTCCTCCATCGTCCCCCTCGAAATCTGGCCTCACGGAGCTATCAGCTATAGTTCCTCCTCACCTGAAGTGTCAGCTCTGCTTCCCAGGTCCGCTCAAAGAGGTGAGGAGTGTTAGTCTCCTTTCTGATAGGGCCTTCATTCTCTCTTGCTGGTGTGCAGGCTACACAGGTCCCAGCCCCAAAGGCCCTGAGCTGCAGGCACACTGAGGGCGGAGAGGCGTGCTCTAGACAGGTACAGCTAGGGCACTAAGGATGAGAGCTGAGCCGGTTAAAGCTGGTTAGGGGTAGCTTGAAAGGCTTCTGCCCCAGGGATGGCTCTATGATCTGGATCTTGTCTCCTGCCCCAAGTCATCTTGTCTCCTCCGTGACCGGGAGAATGATTTGCCATGGCAGCCACGGCAGCATGGTAGCACATCAACTGTCAGGTGTCCTGCAGGCTGGCCCTGTCTTGCTTCCCTCAGGTTGGGGCTCTGTGGATAGCCCCGCTGGTTTCAGACTGCTTGCTAGTTAGTGGTCATGAGGTTGAAGCTTCTGGCATGGCTCCCTGGGCCTGGCTGGGCATACGGCCATGTGGCCAATGTCCTGAGACCGCTTGGGTTGTCCAGGGAAGTGGCAGGAAGTGTAGTCATGGCCAGGCTTAAGTTACAAGTTACAGAGTCCAGCAGCCAGGACAGGTGCAGGGTTGTGCCAGTCTGACTCCTTGAGCTGGACTCCTGGGGGGGGGGGGGGGAGTCGGGTAGACTAGTGGTCTGTGCAAGCAGGTTCTCAGACCAATTCTGAGTGGGAGCCAACTTTTCCCCTCACTGGCTTGCTTCATGCTCACACTGCGTAGATACCTCTCCATCTACCTTCCTCTCCCCCAACCCCTTCTGCCTCCCCCACCTCTCCCCTCCCCTTTGCCCTCTGCGACCCTCTTCTACCCACCCCTTCCCCTTTCTCACTCCCTCCTGCTCAGAAGAGGACCCCACCCAGGGCTATGGATACTCTGGCTGCTCCTTTGCTGGCTGCCACACTGGCTCTCAGTAGCTGCTTACTGCTGTCTCTTGCACGGTGGTCCCTTTGCACTCTGAATAGAATGATGCACACTCCTAAGTCACCCTCTCTGACCCCCGCGCCCCGACACCCCCCAAAGCCTTCCTGTTTTCTGTGGTTTTAAACAAACTCCTCTCAGTTCACCTCTCAATGGAGACTAAACTGTTTGGGTTTCAGCCGTGGGGGGTCCCCTTGGGATCAACTCTACTTCCTCTGCCCCACTCGACCTTCTGGCCTGACCAGGCTGATCCACAGGCAGGAGGGGCCCGAGAGCTCCGGCCAGCAGGAGTGTGGAGGGCTGTTTGGCATCTGCTTAGCTGGGACCCCCTAGTTGACAACCTCTTGTCTCTTTTGCCTTTTCTTTTACTGTCTTTTTGCTGCGCTTATAACGCGCCTGTGGCCCCAGGCAGCTATCTGTTCTTGGCATGTACCATAGTTTTAATTTTTTGTAATGCTTATTTGATAGAATCTTTTGTAGCCCAGGCTGCCCTGGAACATGTTAGGTAGCCCAGGCTGGACCTGCTAGGTAACCCAGGCTGGCCTTGAACATGCTAGGTAGCCCAGGCTGGCCTTGAACATGTTAGGTAGCCCAGACTAGACTTGCTAGGTAGCCCAGGCTGGCCTTGAACATGTTAGGTAGCCAAGGATGACCTTGAACCCATTGCCTTGACCTCCTGAGTGCTAAGATTACAGTAATGAGCTATCATACCAACGTCCATCCCTTGTTCTCACTGCATTATTTGACTCTTGCAGTCTGCTCAGGCCCTCACACATGCAAACACCTCCTCATCACTCAGCTGTACTCAAGCTCTGTATTATTTGTTTTAATTCCTGATTTTGAATGGCGGACTTGCTTGGTGGCCCCTGGACTTTTCCATACCCCCACCCCCACCCCCCGCGTCTCTTGGGGTGGAGTCCATCTGTTGAAGGGATGGCTCTGCCTTTTTACCCAGCAGTGAGCAGAGCAGACCCTACCATGGCTGTGCCAATGCAGCTCCGTCTGGTGGCAGGCAGCAGATTTCTAGGTGAGGTAGAGAAAGACAGACTGAGGGCTGGACTGGACTCCTCAAGGTCTTGAAGGGGTCAGAAGGTCCAGGTGCCCTAGGGCTTGA